TAAAGTTGCCGAGTTTGGAGACCTCTGATTTATACGGTGATCCGATCTTTTCTTGGAAACCTTCCATTGATGAAGTATTTACAACTCTGGGGGCCAAATGAGATTTGAAAAAAGGCTAAGGAAAAATGTTGATGTCATGACGTTTTACAAAACGTTGCAAAATGCAGTAGAAGTAAGGACTCAACTCTGTGAAAATCCGGATATATGCAATATATCAATATAGTTATATATGCAATATATATCAATATATCAATATATGCAATATAGTTTAAGGAAAAAAAGGAGTGAGGGGTGACTTCTGTGGCGCAGTGGTTAGAGTGCAGTACTGCAGGCTACTTCTGCTGTCTGCCGGCTGCCTACAATTTGGCAGTTCAAATCCCACCAGGCTCAAGGTGGACTCAGCCTTCCATCCTTCCGAGGTGGGTAAAATGAGGACCCAGATTGTTGGGGGGCAATAGGCTGACTCTGTAAACCGCTTAGAGAGGGCTGGAAAGCACTATAAAGCGGTATATAAGTTTAAGTGCTATTGCTATAATAGCCCTCTCCCAATATCTCAGAGGTTGCCACAAAGAAGAGGGAAACGATCTATTCTCCAAAGCCCCTGAGGGCAGGACAAGAAGCCACGGATGGAAACTCATCAAGGAGAGAAGCAACCTAGAACTAAGGAGAAATTTCATGATAATTTGAACAATTAATCAGTGGAACGACTTCCCTCCAGAAGTTGTGAATGCTCCAACACAGGAAGATTTTAAGAAGAGATTGGACAGCTGTTTGTCTGAAATGCTATAGAGCCGTGATGGCGAACCTGTGGCACGCAGAGCCATTTGTGCCGACACGCCAGCTGCAGGCAAACTTACCTTACTGCGCATGTGCGCGCCTCACAGCTGTTTTTTGGCCAATTTGAGACCTTTTTTGGCCTCTCAAAGGCTTGGGGAAGGCTTCTGCAGGCTTCTACAAGCTTTGTAGGCCGAAATCTAGCCCTGTTTTTCACTTCCGGTTTTTTTGGAAAAACAGGAAGTGACAATCACCGGCCGAAAATCAGCTGTGAGGTGCAGTGCAGGTAAGGGGGCGGCGGGGTGGGTGGGTGGATTGATCATGCATGCGTAGGGGATGTGGTGGGGGGCACGCGCATTGCCTTCTAGGTGCTGGCACGCAAGTGCAAGTGTGCAAGCACACACACAATTTTTGGCACAGGAGCCCAAAAAGGTTAGCCCCCACTGCTATAGAGTCTCCTGCCCTGAGCAGGGTGGGGATGGACTTAGAACAGTGGTTGCCAACCAGTGGGCCTGGGACCACTGGTGGTCCGCAAGAAAATTTCGGTGGTCCGCAGAGAAATGTCACCCACAAAGCACACCACAAAGCAATTAATCCAGGCTGTGTGAGAACTGCGCCACCCACATGGCTTGTGGGAACACAAGGCTTGCATCACTTGCATTGTGAACAACACGAGGTAGTGAGGGGAGGGGGGAAAGGGCGGGGGGGGCGAACTGGCTTGGTCACCGGGCTGTTTCTTTCCGCTTCTTTCTCCTTCTGCTTTTGGCTTCACACAAGGAAAGCAGCAAAAGTCTTTCTTTTTCTTCCCCAAACTCTGCCTGAAATGAGTCTTTGGGACCCTGCAAGGCATCCCTGCTCCAAGAGGCTGCGCCCTTCTGGCGGAGTTTGGGGGAGAGAAAGAAAGACTTCTGCTGCTCCTGCTGCTTTCCTTGCATGAAGCCAAAAGTCTCTCTGTCCCCACCCACCCAAGAACAGAGCTGGAGATCCTGCGATCCTGGTATCCTGTGATCCCAGCATGATTGATTGGTAGGCAAACGGGGTGGGAAATTTTTCTGCAGACTTTTTTTGGGATTTTCCCAGGGTCTCCGGTCAATGGGATTTAAAATTATGCGTTTGGTGATCCCTGAGGTCCAAAAGGTTGGCGACCCCTGGACTAGAAGACCTCCAAAGCCAGGGTTGGGGCTACTGGGGGTTCGCAGGGGTTCAGGAGAGCCCTTAGCTAAGACTCTGTGCAGTTCAGAGAAGCCCCAAATCCCATTCCCCACCCACCCCACCCCTCCCAAGAGTCCCCACACGGCCCGATTTGGGTGTGAGATAAGTGCAGGGCGCGGACGGAGGCTCGGGGAGGGCGAAAAACAGGCCTCCCAGAAGTTTGGGAAGGCCGGAAATGGGCCCGTTTCTGGCTTCCAGAGAACCTCCGGCGCCGGGGGAGGGCCAAAATGCCTCCCCCACCGTGGTGCAGGAGGCCGACTAGGCCACGCCCACCATGGCCACGCCCACCCGGCAACCGGCCAGAGAACCCCTTGCTAAAGTGTTTGAAGTCCACCCCTGTCCAAATCCCCGTACAAATCGGTTATGCTCACCTGTTGGCATGCAGCCATACAACGGCAAGATAAGCAAGCCGTCCACGGCGCCATCTCTTACGTCAAAGCGGTAGTCTATCATTTCGGCTTTCCGGAAGAGAAGCTCGCAAGCTCTTTCAATCTCCGACTGCCCTAGTGTGGAACCACAAACTATTGTTCTGAAGAACTGAGGGAAAGGCTAACGGTAGTCTCTGACTTACAGCCATTCGTGCAGCGATCGTTCGAAGTTACAACGGCGCTGAGGGGGAAAAAAAGGACTCGCGACTGGTCCTCACACTTACAACCGTTGCATCATCGCCGCGGTCACATCAACCAAAATTGGATGTTGGGCAACTTCGGCATGTATTTACGACGGTTGGAGCACTGTCCCAAGATCATGTGATTCCCCATTTAAATCATGAGCCAGAACTTTCAGAGCTTAAAGATTTATTAGGAGTAAACATGCCGGTGCTACCTGAGACATATCATTCATTGCATCCTTGACCCTGGTTTTCCCCCCACCCCCTGGGTGTATCCTAATTCATATTCTCCAATGGGATACATCCATAGCCAAGAGTCATCAATCATGCTCTCCAGTTAGAATTTTGCCGGCCAGAAACTTCGGTCTCCTAGAAATTATCTATGAAAACATTTAAGGAATGCACTACTTCCCCCCTCCCTTTCTGCTGGCAACTCTTAAAAGACCAGAGAAATATTGTATGAGTTGACACCCCATTTGGGATCTTCCCAGTCTACTTCCTACAAGGAAAGTTAATGGAGGAAGCCTGAGTCATTTAATGGCCAGGTGAGTCACCGAACTGCAGCGATTCGCTTAATGGCCACGATAAAAAGGTTGTAACATTGGTCACGATTCACTGAATAACCTTCTTTGCTAGCAATGGAAATTCTTATCCCAGTTGTGGTCCTGAGCCAAGGACTACCTGTATCCCAAGGGAAGAGCCATCAAGCTTAAAAAAAAGATGAAATATGAAACAGGGGACTGGAGGCTAAAACATATGAAGAACGGTTGCAGGAACCGGGTATGTCTAGTTCAGAGGTCTCCAAACTTGACAGCTTTAAGACTTGTGGACTTCAACTCCCAGAATTCCTCCTCCAGTCATGAGAGCTCAGGAATTCTGGGAGTTGAAGTCCACAAGTCTTAAAGCTGTCAAGTTTGAACACCCTTGTTATAAGGCATACTATTGTTTATTCTTAGGCAGGAATTGGCAGCTATGGCAAATTTACCACCTGTGGACTTCAACTCCCAGAATTCCTGAACTAACCATGCTGGCTCAGGAATTCTGGGAGTTGAAGTCCACAGGTTTTTAAGTCGCTATAGTTGCCTCGCTCTCCCTAACGGTGCTCTCCCTAATCTGAACCCAGGCCGTGGCTCAATTTCCGTGGCCGTGAGACTCATGCTTGGCTTACTGATATTTTTTGTAAAATCATCCACAACTGGCCCGGTTTGCTCAAACTTCAGTGAATCCCAAGATCAGTATTTCTGGGAATTCTGGGAGTTGAAGTCCATGAAGTTCAAGAGGCCAAGATGGAGAAACCCTGCCCTAAGTGTCAGCAAAGAATATCCTTTACTGCCCTCTAGTGGTCAGTCCATAATTTTACAGCCTTCATATGGCAGTCCTAGATTTCAGTTGCTAAGTTGTGTTTGAATCTTCACTTTCAACCTCACTGTCCTCCACTGTCTCAGAGTTTGCCCAAATTCATGTTCATTGGGTCCATGATACTACCTAACCATCTCATCCTCTGCTAATGGGAATTCTGGGAGTTGAAGTCCGCACGTCTTAAAGTTGTCAAGTTTGGGGACCCCTGGTCTAGTCTAGTGAAAAGGACGAGGGGAGACATGATAGCAGTCTTCCAACATCTCAGGGGCTGCCCCCAAAGAACAGGGAGTCAAGCTATTCTCCAAAGCACTCCAAGGCAGAAGAACAAGCAATGGATTTAAACTCATCAAGGAGAGAAGCAACTCAGAATTAAGGAGAAACTTTCTGAGAGTTAGAACAAAGCTGCAAAGCTGGAAATAGTGGGGAACTCTGGTTTAAGTCGAGGATTACCTGTATACCAGGGTTGTCAAACTCAAGGCCCACGGCCCACATCCAGCCCACAAGCTGCTTAAATCTGGTCAGAAATTTCAAGGGACTCTGTTGGCAAAAACAGGCCAATGGGGGGTGCACTGCCCCCCCGATTTTGGCTGGATCAGTGCTGCTGGAGGCCAGGGGGCCAAAAAATGTGCGGGGGCCAGTGGTGGGATTCAAAAAATTTTTTATTCCTGGTTCTGTGGACGTGGTTTAGTGGGTGTGGCTTGGTGGCCATGGCAGGGGAAAAGTTACTGCAAAATCTCCATTCCCTCCCGACCCCACTAACCTGCTTTCCAGCTCCATTCTCCTGTGCAGGGCAACCAAAGGAGACCCAGCCGATCTGCCTCAAAGGGAGGCAAAGAAGAGATGCGGGTGGGGCCCAGTCAGAGGTGGGATTGGCCGGTTCTCCAAACTACTCAAAATTTCTGTTACTGGTTCTCCAGAATTGGTCAGAACCTGCTGAATATACCACCTCCGGCAGGGGCCTTGTGGTGCCTCTGGGCAACCTGTTTTTGGCCTCCCCAGCCTCCAGCAGCACTCTCCCAGCCAAAATCGGGCCGCATGGAGGCGCCGCAAAGCCTCCGCACGGCCCATTTTTGGCTTGAGCCTATGACAAACGCCCACTATGGCCACACCCATCCCCAGCCACAGCCACCATGACCACGCCCCTCCGAGGTCAAACACAACTCTGATGCGGCTCTCAATGAAATCAAGTTTGGCATCCCTGCTATATACGAAGGAGTTAGTGATTCTCCACAGGGTGAAAATCAAACTTGGAAGCAAGCAAACACTTACCTGTCAGAAAAACCAGGATGTCTCCAGCCGAGCCGTTCAAATGGACATCCAGGGTCACTTTGACAGTCTGAAACAAACAATGCCAAGAGTCTGTAGGAGGAACTCACGTGCAATATATATTTTTTTTCACACCGTGCTAACTACTACAGGTAGTTTATTTATTTATTTATTTATTTGATTTGCCAATTGTTTACAAGATAATAAGTATAAGTGTATACATAGTTGTGAATACATGAAATGGGTACATATAAGAAAAATAAAAGAAGAATAAGAGAAACAATAGGACAGGGACGGTAGGCACGTTGGTGCGCTTATGCACGCCCCCTACAGACCTCTTAGGAAAGGGGTGAGGTCAATAGTAGACAGTCTAAGGTTAAAGTTTTTGGGGTTTGGGGAAGAAACTACAGAGTCGGGTAGAGTATTCCAGACATTGACCACTCTATTGCTGAAGTCGTACTTCCTGCAATCAAGTTTGGTGCGGTTAACTTTGAGTTTGTATCTATTGTGTGCTCTTGTGTTGTTATGGTTGAAGCTGAAGTATTCATTGACAGGTAGGACATTGCAATGTATGATTTTATATACCATGCTTAAATCAGACCGAAGACGGCGTAATTCAAGGTTTTCTAGTTCTAGAATTTCAAGTCTGGTGGCATAAGGTATTCTACAACGAGTAGAGGAGTGGAGAACTCTTCTTGTGAAATATTTCTGGACTTTCTCAATTGTGCTAATATCAGAATATAGTTAATATATAATGCTAATATAGTTCTCGAATTACCACTGCAACTAAAATGATTGAAAATTGAAATTCCCAAAATTTCTGTTGCCAAGCAAGGCAGTTGTGATGTGAGTTTTGCCCCATTTTACAAGCTTCCTTGCCACCTTAAGAGAATCATGGCCGTTGTGTAGTTAGCAACGTGGTTGTTGAATGAATCTGGCCTCCCCATTGACATTTGCTTGTCAGAAGGTCGTAAAAAGTGATCACGTGACCCCGGGACACTACCAATGTCATCAGTAGGAGTCAGTTGTCAAGGGTCTGAAGTTTGATCATGTGACCATGGGGATGCTGCAACGGTCGTATGTATAAAAACCAGTCATAATTCATTTTTTTTCAGTGCCGTTGTAACTTTGAACGGTCAATAAATTAATGTGTCAGCTTTAAATGGGAGGAAAATGGGAGGGTGGAATTTCTTGGAGTATATCTAGTTAGACATAACAACATTCTTTTTCTGATTCAAGGTCAGGTTGTTTTGCACGTAAGTGAGAGGAAGTCTCAAGTTGGGATGGATGGTGATTGGGGCATGTGATGTGATGATGATGGGTGCAGGGGATGGATTTTGTAGTTTTTACTTATTGTAAGGAAGCCCGGAACTTTCAGATTCGGGATTCCCCAGTTGTGCCAGTTACTATCCAAATAAAAAGGAACCTTTGAGAAGATGTCTGTCTCGGAGTTATTGGGTGAAATGGAGGGTTGCTGGAACGCTGACAGAATGGTTGTAAATCAAGGACTACCTGTATTGTAAGGTTCCATTAACCGAATCCTGCAAATCTAGAAGTATAAATTTCCTCCCATCTCTTTTACAGTTTAAGAACTTAGGAGGGTTTCTGCGTTACTTTTCTCCACTCATGAGAAAAATCCCTTCTCCACTTTTCTGACTTTTTTTTTCCTCCCCTCTTCATGCAGCTGTGGGCTCCACTTCCTCTTATCTGATTGTTCTCTAGGCCAGCGGTCCCCAACCTTTCCAGATTAGCAGCCCGGCCCGCTGCTGGGGGGGAGGGAAGGCATGTGAGTGTCAGGCAAAAGCGTGCATGCACAGCTCCAGCTGTGCAAGTGGCACATGTACGCGCTCACTCTGTTCACACGATTGGAGCTTTGTACGTGAACGGAAGAGGGCGCTTGCACTCGTGTGACGTTCCACTCGCGCAAGCAGCAAGCACTCACGCTCGTGCACGAAGCTCCCCCCATGTGAGTGGAGGACACTTGCATTTGCTCACAAAGCTCCACTCGCACAAGTTGTGAGCACCTTCCACTCACACACGTGGAGCTCCACATTGGTGACTTTGTCCGCCCCTTGTGCAAGGGGAGCTTCATGCGTGCGTGTTTGCCCATTTCTCCTGCGGCCCGGTTTTGAACAGGCCGTGGCCCGGTAATAGGCTGCGGCCTGGAGGTTAGGGACTGCTGCTCTAGGCAGCATCTCTTTGCACCGTGATGGCGAACCTATGGCACACGGGCCAGAAATGGCACGCAGAGTCATCTCTGCTGGCACGCAAGCCGTTGCCCCAGCTAAGTTCTACTGCGGATGCACGCACGTGCCTCCCGCTAGACAGCTGATTTTCAGGTATCTGGGAGACGGGGGAGCACGAGAGGGTCAAGCACGTATGCGCAGGGGGAGCACAGGGGGATTTGCATGTGCATTGCATTATGGGTGCAGGCACGCGCTCATGCGCACACGCGCACACATTCAGCACGCGACGACAAAAAGGTGAGCCATCACTGTCTTCACCTATTCTATCCCGGTCTCCCCAGATGAGGGGTGTCAAACTAAATTTCATTGAGGGCCGCACCAGGGCTATGGTTGACCTTGGGGAGGGGGGGGGTGCGTGGCCGAGTGGATGGGTGTGGCCCAGGGGTAGGATTCTACCGTTTCTCACCTATTCGCTAGAACTGGTTGTTAACATTCTAAGCAGTTCGGAGAACCGGTTGCTAGAAGAAATTACTGGCCTAATCCTGTAAGGAAGGTAGGAAGGAAACATTCTGGTGTTGCTTACAGAAACTGCCTCTCCGTTAACCCTTATTACATTCTTGGCAGGACTAGACTTCCTGTCTCTGGAACTTCTCTAGATTTTTTTCCCCCTCCTTTGCTGATACTTTGCTTGTGTGGAGGGACAATTCAAAGTTACAATGGCACTGAAAAAAGTGACTTATGACCATTTTTCACACTTACGACTGTTGCAGCATCCCCACAGTCATGAGAGGCCAGGTGAGGAGAATGTGTGCCTCGATGTGAGTGATATTGAGTTGGCCACACCCAGCCAATAACATGACCAACAAGCTATGTCCACCCAGTCACATGACCACCAAGCCACGCCCACCACCCAAGCCACGCCCACAGAACCAGTTGTTAAAAATTTTGAATCCCACCCCTGGTGTGGCCAAATGGGTAGGTGCGGCCATCTTGGTGCCACTCCCCAAACATCTCTTTGCATTGGGCAGACCGGGCCAATGGGACGCAGGCCCAGCCCCTTACATTTTCCAGGATGGGCCTACGAGCCGGATTTGTGTTGTGGTTAGCCGGCAGCAGGTGCAGATGGCTGAGGAGAGCGAGGACTCAGATGAGGGGCCAGGACCATTAGGGAGTGGACTGCTGCCTTCAGAGATTGTGGGGGCTGGCAGCAGCGATGAGGAGGTTCCCAAGGAGCCTGTGCCAAGTGCGCGTGAGCGCAAGGCTGCTCGCAGGAAAGAGCAGCTGCAGCAGCAGAGGCGACTCAGGAGTAAGGCTGCAAGGTAATGGCCCCTCCTTCAAGAAGATAAAAGCCAGCTGTGAATCGGATGTTCTTTGCAGGAAGCAAAGACATTTTGAAACTCGAGCCTCGTGGACTTTGCAGTATCTGAAGTTGGTATTTGAAGACTTTTGTGCTGTGAACTATTTCTTATCTGTTGTTTTTGGCAGCCTTGCAAAAACTTGGCAAGGCTTTTTTTTTGACGGAGCTAATTAGTTGGAAGCAGCCTTTTATCTGTGAAGAAACAGGATTCATAGATGAAACGTTAAAAGGTTGTGCTGCTGCCTTTGTCTTGTGTTTGCTCTCTTGGAACCAGGTTTGGGTCGGAACTATTTGGCCACATCACGGGCAAGATTCGGCCTGCAAGATTTGCTCCAGGGATTATAAAAAACCCTGCTTTATGGAACTTTATTCTAATAAATACAATATGAAGCATGCCTTACATTTTAACCCGTTGTGATTATTTTGGAAAACTAGCGGCCATTTCTTATTCTTTTCTACTCAATCTTTCAATAAAGCTTACTCAGTTGGAAACTAGAAAAGGTTTTAAGGCTTTCCTGCAGCTTCTTTGTCGTATCCATGTTCCAAACGATTTGTAGTTTTTCAGGGGATTAAAGGAAAGCTGCAGAAAAAAAACTAATCCTAATAATTGGGCATCGACCACAAGAATTCAGATTATACCTTCTTACTAAACTTAGATGCCGATAGCTTATCGGTTTCTGCAATGGAACTAAGAGAGGGATGTGTGTCAGAAAAACTCAAAATGTCAGCCACCACCATGGAGCTTGGTGCTCTCTGAGCTTGGCTGTTTGTTTCCAGACATTTTATTTTCTGTCTTGGTAACGTCATCAGTGCTAGTGAGCGTGGTGTGTTCTAATTACATACAGAGCTTGCTCTGCCAATGTTGATGGGAGTGTGGTTTGCTTTTTCATCTCACAACACATGGAGAGAGTCAACCTCAGTTTCAGCTGAGAAACTTGCAAGCATCCTAAACCAAACTAAATCCTAAAACGCTTAGGAATTCCCGAAAGCTTGGCATTCAGACAAATCAGCAATCAAAGGACACACACAGAGGCAAACCACATTTAGATACCCATCAAAAGAGACAGCACAATATAAGTCTAAGTGCTACTGCTATTATGCACCGAAGACAAATTCCTTGCGTGTTGTAACACATGCAATTAAAGAGAAGGAACAAACTGAATATTATATGATATGGGAATCATTTTATCGATGGTTAGAGAATAAATATGAAAGTTAGAAACAAAAGAAGACTGTGCAATATAGTGAAATATAGAAAACATGTTAATAAAAGTAAATGAACAAAGATGAGGATTGTTATAATAATTAGATATATTATGTACATCAGTAATAAGTTAAGAGTAGAGAATTAATACTAATGTAAATGATTATGGCTGGAAACTTTAATTGTTATTGCACAAGATATTTGTACCCAGATGACACACTGTTTAATGGATGATGGACTATATTAAAAATAAAAAATATTAAAAAAAATCATTGTGTGTCCAATCACACTTGTCCAATGGCGAATTCTATTCTATTCTATTCTATTCTGTTCTGTTCTGTTCTATTATCTATTCTATTCTATTCTATTCTATTCTATTCTATTCTATTCTATTCTATTCTATTCCCTTCTAGCACTGATGTTACTTAGTTGGATAACAAAATGCCTGCAAGCAAACAACCGAGCTTAGAGAGCACCAAGGACCCCATAACAATCCTCCTCCTCTTCCCCATTTCCTTCTAATACTGATGAAGTTACCTAGCTGGGTAACAAAATGTGTCAGCCTTCAAGATCTTCCTCCTTTCCTTTGCTTCTTTCTGGCTGCCATGAGTAACGGGGGGGTGGAAAGTGTTGAAAGTGTTAATAACTGATATTGTATAAACTGGGGAGGGTTTCTCATTCCTGCTTAGCTTTCTCTTCTCTGCGCAATTGCAAACCTTTATCTGAGTAAGCCAAGGTCAACTAATCATCACCACCTGGAGATGTCCACATGATGAAGTTCACCACTTTTAATTGGAAGAACCGTTTGAACTATTGGGGGTGGGAACATTTCACTCCCTTGATATATGTGATGTACATGCCTATTTCCCCAGATTCAGAATTTTCTCGTTGCTACCACTAACTTCCAGTAAAAGATATTTTTTCTCTAATTACAAGAGTCTAAGTATTTCTTTCTTGGAATTTGAACGGAGCACCAGCTGACAAAATGTCTGCACGCAAACAACCAAGCTTAGAGAGCACTATGGACCCCATAGTCCTCCTCCTGCTCCTCCTCACACCCCATTTCCTTCTAGCACTGACAATGTTACCTAGTTGGGTAATGTAACATCCACAAGCAAACCACCAAGCTCAGAGACCACCAAGAACTCCTCAAATGAGATGGCAGTTTGAGCTTCTTCGGCGACAGACCGAAATCTGCGATTGTGCGCAGTTTCTATCAGTGCTCGCCGCTGGAGCGCCCCGAGCCCACTGGTTTCAGGGCTAAGCCACCCCGTAGAGGTGGTGAAGGGGGGGGGAGACTGCCAGCAGGGTTGAGGAGAGCCTCATCTCTCCTCCTCAGCTGGCCATTACTCCCTTTCCTGAAGGCAGTTGCAGCGGTGGTCAGAAATGGCCACCTCAAAGAAGAACTCAACCAGAAAAGAATGTGCAGGAGGAAGATAAGAAGAGAAAGTTTTAGCTGACCGGGTCGAACTGGAAAAGCAACAATATAAGGTACCCTGGAATTTGAATGATAAAGAACAACATTGTTCCCAAAGAAGACTTTGAAGCTGCAAATGAGAGAGGGAAGGGAAAGGATTTGGGTTTTTTTCTTTTCTTCCCCATATTGACAACTAAGAGATTTAAGCAAGAAACCGGCAAAAATCCACTTTGACATTAACAGGTATTTAAGCTGAAAATAAAATGTCAAAGGGATAATAAAGATTTCTGGATTCTCAAAAACTTTTAAAAGAAGGAAAAAAACAAAGGTGGGATCTGTAAAAATGAAGGAGACCACCAGGAAGTGAAAGGAATTAACAGTGAAACTTTAACAAGATTCCTAAAAGATACATTTTAACTGAAACGTTGTAACAAGATAAGAGAACCCCAGGAAGAGAAAGTGGAAAAAGAAGCAAGAAGAAACAGTTTTGGATTATTTGGATTACTTGGTGATTTTTGGATTTTTGGCTATTGGATCTAAAAGACTAAAATTAATTGGGTGGTTGTTTAAAAGTTTTTAAAATGGTATCACTCTTGGAAGAATTGAGAATGGAACTTAAAAAAACAGAAAGAAGATGCACAAGAAGGAAGAGGTTCTTTCGGCTTTGTATTTCACTTTTTAGAAATAAAGATCCTGAACTATGAGAAACAACAAGAAATGCCTGTAGAACAAGAAGGCCGGGACAAAGAAGAAGCCATTTTTAATGACCAAGTATTTCTATGTGGGGAAAAAAAAGGGAAGGGGGGGAAAGAGAGTGAAAAATTTAAGATCTGAAAAAAACAACCCCCAAAAAGAATAGTTTGAAAAGTAATTACAACATTAGGAAGAAACAGAAGAGAGGACTACAGAAGAGAGAATCAGAATTAGAGAGAGAAGGGGTCAAAAAGAGAAGAAGGGGGAGAAGAGGGAAAGGAAAAGAAATTATAAAGGACAGAATCAGGACATAGAGAAACAGGGAAAACGTACTGTTAGGAATTGATAGTCACCTAACAGTCGGGTTGGAAATATATCAACCAGGATAGACATTTAATACTGTCTCTTTAAGGGATTGCTAAAATTGTAATTGGGTGTGGTTCCTCAAACAGCCATAAGATGGAGCCAGAAACCTGGGTTGTGCTGTTCTGGGAAGGCTCTGAGGAGGGCTCTGCATCAGAGGCAGAGATGGAGCCAGGACCGTCTGACAGTTATCAGCTGCCTTCAGAGTCAGAGATCAGTGGGGCAGAAGAACAGCTGGAGCATGTTTCCAGTGTGCGCATGCACAGAGCTGCCAAGAGAAGGGAAGGAACAAGGGTTGACTTGGAAGTAAAGTCACAAATGGACGATGAATGGCCGCTGCCCTAGGGAATAAAGAGGAGTAAAAGGGGAGTGGTGTTTGCAGGAGACAATTAGTTCATTTAATTAGGGTGAAGATTTGTTTCTGACTCCTTACCAAGTATTCTCTGCTACAGCATTGCACTTGGAAGCTATCGGCCTGGCAACTCTCCAAGCCAGATAAGGACTGTGGTTGTAAATCACTCTTGAAAGACTGTTTGCCGGGACTTTGCTGGATGTGAATGAGAGGAATTCACATTACCTAAATAAAAGGGACGAGGATTCTGGTTCGTGATTTTGTGAAGCCTAGGTCAGAACAGAAAGTGACCAGCCAGTACCTCTGTGATGAAGGCAGAGCTGTTGGCATCTCTGGGGCCCAGGGCATCGCAGAAGATCTCCTCCACCAGGTATTTTCTTCCTGGAATCTCCACCACTGAGCAATGGCCAAAGAAAGCCGAGAACTTCTCCACGTCCAAGGTGGCGGACATCACTACGACCTTCAAGGGTTCCTTCCGTTGGGTTTCTTTTTCCTGGTGGAACAGCTGCTTCAAAAGGCCAAAGAGGATATCCTGAAAGAGAAGGGGTCTTTCTAAGGTCCACGTTTTGAACAACAGTCACTTTCACACATGGACCACACAGCCAATCTTCAATTGATCTTTTCACTGGCAAAAATATTCCCAGCTATCCGGGAAATAGCAGCTAAGACTGCAGGTACTCTTCGACTTACGACTACAATTGATCTCAACATTTCTGTTGCTAAGCAAGACAGTTGTTGAGTTTTACCCCGTTTTACAACCTTTCTTTGGCACAGTCATTAAGTGGATCGCTCTAATTGTTAAGTTAGTAGCACGGTTGTTAAGAGAATCTGGCTTCCCCGTTGCCTTTCTGGTCAGAGGGTCACAAAAGAGGGTCACATGACCCCAGGACATTGCAATGGTCGTAAGTGTGAGTCAGTTGCCAAGGATCTGAATTTTAACCATACAACTACAGGGACGTGGCCACTGTCGTTAAGTGTGAAACTTTTTCAGTGCTAGTGTAAATCTGGTTACTAAATGAATGGTTGTACGTCGAGGACTATCTGAAGTATTCTGTGACGGAGGAAAAAAACACTGCAAGGAAGAAGCTTCAAATCTAAGATTCGGGCTGGAATTTCCGCAGGCTCTCAAATCTTTTAAAGTCACTAGTCCACAAGAATTAGAGGCAGCCAGTAGGGGAATCTAATCTAAAAGGAAAGAAAGACTGGGAATATAGTACAGACAATCCTTGGCTTATGACCGATTGCTGTTCAATATTATGACCAACCTTCCTTGGGGCTACTTATAGATTCGAACACTCTGCGGTCACATGACTGAACTTTGAGTGCTCAGTAAAATGGCTGCATTTATGCTCGTTTGCAGCCTCCCACAGTCATGTGACTGTATTTTAATGACAATTTTACTGAAAATTGCTGCTTACTTTTTCAGCAAAACCGTGCCCACAGTGAACCACTGATTCGCTTAACGACCAATGCGTTTACTTAACGACCGCCTCAAAAAAACCCATCAAAATTGGGCTGGTCACATGAACGACCTGTTTTGTAACTTTCATGGCTTATGACCAGAGGTGAGATTCAGCAGGTTCTGACCAGTTCTGCAGAACCGGTAGCGGAAATGTTGAGTAGTTCAGAGAACCGGCAAATACCACCTCTGACTGGAGATATTACAGTATCCTTCCCTGCCACGCCCACCAAGGCACAGAACCGATAGTAAAAAATTTGAATCCCACCACTGCCTATGACCTTTACAGGTAGGATCCATTATGGTCGTAAGTCAAGGACTACCTGAACTGCACACTCCAGAACTGAAAAGACAGAATAGAATAGAATAGAATAGAATAGAATAGAATAGAATAGAATAGAACAGAACCTTTATTGGGAATAGAACAGAATAATAGAATAGAGTAAATAAAATAATAGAACAATAGAATAGAATAGAACAGAACCTTTATTGGGAACAGAATAGAACAGAATAATAGAGTAGAATAATAGAATAGAATAGAATCGTTATTGTCACTTTGAATGTACACTAATAGGCATATATTAAAAATGAAATTTCATTGCATACAACTCTCAAAGGGTCACCACTTCCAATTTTACACTACATAAACATGACAAGATAAATAAATACAAAAATAATGAACACAATACAGAAGCCTGATGATAGCAGATGAGATTCTGCCGAATCGTTGCTACAACTTTAAAAGCACAACTATAATGACCTGGGAAAATACCCGAACAAAGCTGAATACCATATATGTAAGTACCCGCGAAAACTTAAGAAAACAAAAATATGTATATACCCACATATATTATATGACACAGAGAAACAACACAGTCTAGTTCGGATATATACATGTTTATGGCGACAAAAACGAATCTTGTGAGTTTACCACAAGATGGCCCAGGGAACAAAGCTATAGAAAACATGTATAAAATTATAGAACACAGAGAAATTCCCTTAGATTACAAATAAAAATAAAAATGGCACCTGTCAACATGGAAATGAAGCCCCAAAGTATTACTTTGACCTTGGCTGCATTCTGTTTTTTGTTTGCATTAAGCCCTAGGATCTGAGCTTACACTTTTCCTTCTCCTTCCCACGCCCTCTTCTTCTTATGCTGTGTCTTTCAAACCTAGGGAGTCCTTTATAAGTGCACCGCAGAGCAAATTGCCAACCTTACTTAAACTCTGAATAATTGGCTGGCTTGGTTCAGCTTCCGCCAAGCCAGAGAAATAAATCTTAATCAGCCTATTTTATTAGCACTGACCGTGCAGAGACTCCGTTCGTGAGCTTCGTCTAGAATAACGACGCTGTATTGGGTCAGATGCGGGTCCGCCAGGATCTGCCTTAACAAGCACCCATCCGTCAGATACTTGATCGCAGTTCCCTGTACCATTTAGAATCAATATTTAGTCAGGGATGTCCTTTGGATTATAGCGAAGAAAATTCTTTAAGCTGCTTGAAGGAAATCCTCCATTCAGAAAAAAAACAATGACAAAAAAATAATAATTAAAAAGTAAAGGGAACGGTTTCTCCTGTCCAGCCATGAGACTTTCAAAAAGAGATTGGACTCCCATCTGTCAGAAATGGTGTAGGGTCTCCTGCTTGGGCAGCGGGGTTGGACTAGATGACCTACAAGATTCCTTCCAACTCTGATTATCTGTTACCTGACTCTAGGGGGCACTGCTAATCTTCATTTCTTGGCCAATGGAGCCGAAGACATTTCCATGGTCATGTGGCCAGCTTGACTATACTGCCAAAGATGCACAGAACGCTGTTACTTTCCCATGGATGTGGTACCTATTTATCTACTCGCATTTGCATGCTTTCAAACTGCTAGGTCGGTAGGAGCTGAGGCAGGAATGGGAGCTCACCCCCATCCAACTGGGCTATCAGCCGACAAGCTCAGTGTCTTTAGCGGTTGAGCCATCAGGCTCCCTTAAAAAATCATCATCATCATCATCATCATCGTATAATTTAATAATCAGGTCCTTGGAAAGAACTTATTGATAGATAAAAATGCCAAATCCAGTCTAAACAACCTGATTGTGCAACCAACCTTATTAATAAGTCTAAACATCTGGCACACGGCACGACAAATAACAGAAAAGAGACATGGCGAGACAAAATATTACATAGTCAATACATTAAAAAAAAAAAAACAGCAGGCAAAGCAGATAATAAATAAACCTGACAGTGGCTAAAATGCATAGAAAGCCAAAATTGAGAAGACAATTTAAACAAAATATACTTTTTATTAAATACTAAAAGGACCTTGTTTTAAATATCCACTTATTAGGCTTAAGGATTTCCCTCCCACCTCTTTCCTCCTCACTCTTTTTCCTTGAGTGCTGCTGCATCATGTCTTTGACTGAAAATCTAAAAAAAACAAAAAACAGGCACTATTGTGTTCCTGAACATAAGACAGAAGTCTCTCCTGACACACACACACAAACTCAGTAGGCAAATCCAATAAATAGTATAGAATAACAGAGTTGGAAGGGACCTTGGAGGTCTTCTAGTCCAACCCCCTGCTTAGTTAGGAAACCCTACACCACTTCAGACAAATGGTTATCCAATCTTTTCTTAAAAACTTCCAGTTGGAGCAGTCACAACTTCTGGAGGCAAGTTGTCCCACTGATTAATTGTTGTAACTATCAGGAAATTTTTCCTTAGTTCTAAGTTGCTTCTCTCCTTGATTGGTTTCCACCAGTTGCTTCTTCACCAGTTTACCTCAGGTGTTTTGGAGAATAGCTTGACTCCCTCTTCTTTGGGGCAGACCCTGAGATATTGGAAGACTGCAAAACCCTCTTCTTTGGGGCAGACCCTGAGATATTGGAAGACTGCTATCATGTCACCCCCTGGTTCTTCATTAGACTAGACATACCCAATTCCAGCAACCGTTCTTTGTATGTTTTAGCCTCCAGTCCCTTAATCATCTTTGTTGCTCTTCTCTGCACTCTTTCTAGAGTCTCAACCTCTTTTTTTACATCGTGGCGACCAAAACTGGATGCAGTATTCCAAGTGTGGCCTTACCAGGGCATTATAAAGTGGTATTAACACTACTTCCCGTGATCCTTTCCGTGATCCCTCTGTTAATGTAGCCTAGAACTGTGTTAGTTTTTTTGGCAGCTGCTGCACACTACTGGCTCCTATTTAAGTGATTGTCCACAAGACTCCAAGATCCTAACTAACAGATCCTATATAACAATACATCTCAAGAATAAGCTGGATTCGAATACATACCTCCGAGATGCATTCCTCAAAGCGAACCTGGTATCCCACAAGGCCTCCCACTGGGCAGCCTAACTCCTCTGCCACTCTTTCGGCCACAGATATGGCAGCCATGCGCCGTGGCTGCGTCACAGCGATTGTGCCATGCCTGGCAAACCCTATAAATAGTAAAGTAAAAGACATTATCGAGTTTTGCAAAAGAAGAACAAAAAGACCAACCTTTGAAAAACGTGTGTTCTATATAAACCACTGTGCAGGTAACTCCTTGACTTACAACCATTCATTCAGTGACCATTTGAAGCTACAAGGGTATTGCAAAAATGAGTTATGACCATTTTTCACACTTACAACCTTTGAAGCATCCCCATGGACACGTGATCCAAATTCAGACGCTTGCCAACGGACTCATAGCTATGACGGTTTCAGTGTCCTGGGGTCACGAGATCCCCTTTTGCGACCTTCTGACAAGCAAAGTCAATGGGGAAACCAGGTTCACTTAATCCTGTTACTAACTTAATAACTGCAGTGAATTGCTTAATAACTACAGTTGTTAAGAATGGCCATTAAATTGGGCAAAACTTACTTAGAAACTGTCTTGCTTAGCAAAGGAAATGTTGCACTCAATTGTGGCCGAAAATCGAGGACTTAAGTCCCTAGTCAATTAAAGCTGAATACTGAATTGTGCCAGATAAACATCAACACGATTCAAGAGGGGTTGGAATTGGGGCTGTTTGTGGCAATGTAATGATTCTAAGCTGATGACACACTTAACTCTGGCACCCCAACTCTGCCTGCTCTTCCCCCTACATAAACCTTTTGTAGGATTATTGCTCACACCGGTGAACCTTGGAAGTGGGGTACACTTGTGTGTGTACATGCTCTTACCTTCTTCAAATAAATATTGGGGAAGTTGGGTGGTTTTCCCGCTTCCCGTCTCACCCGTCACCACAACAAATTTGTTGCCTTGTATAGTCTCCACTAATTTCCTTCGGAATTTGCTGATGGGAAGCTGCACAGAGCTCAGTTTTTTTTCCTTTCCTCCCTTTGGCATTTTGGGTTGTTGCTCTGTGGGCACAAAACACAAGCAAAACGGATAAACCTGCGGTTAAGAGGTAAAGGAATCCCAACAGATCTTCTTTTGTTAAATGAATTAATGTTAAGTTGAAGTCCTTTGGAAATGATGAAACCTAAGATTCTCTGTAGTGTAGGGTGATTGAGCTGGCTGGGCAGCATGTGTGTGTGTGTGTGTGTGTGTGTGTGTGTGTGTACATGTGTATGTGCAAAACAATACACACAATTTTGCAAACAAAAGCCCGGCCATATTTTTTTTTTCCTATTTACTTGCAGGCTTCCAATCACGCTCCACTTTTTTTCCAATCACACACTCCACAAGCGCACTCACTTTTTGCAGCATTTAAACTCTAGGCCCCTAATCATTTTTGTTACTCTTCTCTGAAACTCTTTCCAAAGTCTCAACACCTTTTTTGAGATCTTGAGAATAGAATTCTTTATTGGCCAA